TTTATTTATTATATTTATTATATTTATTATCATAATTATATTTACTTTCACTATTATATTTATTATCTCTATCTTATAATTGTATTTTATATAAATATCCTGTATTGTCGCCTTGACAAACTAACAAGTTTCAATCGTACAATTAATAAAGTATAATCTTAACAACATAAAAACTATATCTTTGTTAATATCTATTTCCTTAAAACATAAATCATCAATAAAGACGACCTGATCCTTCAATTTAAATAATTTCGTGTTTATTTTTTTCAGAGTTTACAATTTAAACTCCCTGTTAGCAAATAAGCTTTGTTATCCTAACGACGTAGTGTTTAGGCTTAACAACGTTCATATTCAGCTATATGAGATATAACTAATAATAGTTTAAGTACTAATTGTATTAAATAATTCTCCTCTTAAGAAAGCAATTTTTCATAAAAATCTATCAAGTAATTAGAAATTCAGTAGAACTTAACTCAATATTAAATGGTTTTATATATAAATAGTATAATTAATCTAGTACTTTAGTTCTCTTCATTCAATATTTATTTTTTCATATTTTTAAAAATTTTATTTACAATTGTTAAATAATTCTTAAAAAATTTTATGTATCTAACAAGCTTCTAAAAATTAAAATAAAATATTATTTTAAAAAAAAAGTTAAAATATTCTTTAATAAAATAAAAAAATATTATACTAATTTTTATAATCTAAATATAAAAAGTTTAACAAATATATTAAATTAGCAAATTCAATATAATACTTATTAAAGATTGCAATATACTGGTAATAAAAAGAATAATAATCATTTTTAGATAATTTTTTAATTATAATTTCAAATTAAACTAATCTAAAAAAACAATAATAAAGTATATATAATTGAGATTCTAATATTAAAATTGCCTTTTTAATAAGATGTAAAGTAAATACTAATATATGTATATCATCAAAAAAGCTTAAAATTTTATAATTGTTAAAATTGGTTATGAAAGAAGATTCACATAATAAGATCATAACTTATATTAATAAATAAATTTAATTAATAATAATATAAAAAATTAAATTATATATTATAAAATAATTATCTTTTCTAAAATTTCCTTATAACGTTTGATAAAATCAATATAATTAAATATAGTATGCCATTGAGTATTATATTAATCTATCATTTTAAACCTCTTTTATTTATATTATAAATTTTAGCTTCTTACTTTAAGACTGCATCTATTAAAATATATTTTATAAATATAATTAAAATAATAAAAATATATATTATTTAATGTGAAAATATTACCTTAATTTATAAAAGAGGTATTACATATATTTTTAAAAATTAAATTAATTGAATAGACAATACAATAAATATTAAGGATATAATTATATTTTTCAGTAATTATTTTATGCGTATTTTGAATATTTAGTTCTACATCTGATACTACTATTAAGAACTTTTCAGGTCTAATTTGTTTAATAATTCTATTAATTTCTTTTATTAAAAAAGTACTAGTATGACTTTCATTTGATAAGTTTTTTAAACATTACAAATATTCTTTATAAGTAGATGTATGAATAAAAAAATTTTAAATTGATTCATTTGCTATATTAGTCTATCTATTATATACTTTAATTTAAATAAAAATTATAAAACAAAAAGAAAAAAAGCGAAAAAAAAGTAAAAATTATATTAATTTATATTATTAATTAATTAATTAAAAGTAATAATTTTTATTACTTATATAATATTAAATTTGTAGAATTTTAATTCCTTAATGATTTTATTATTTATAACTGTTACTTCTTATATAAGAAGCTATTCAGAAAGTATTTCTTTAAAAGGAGATATATATTCTAGATGTAATGTTTTTAAAACTTCTATAAAAAATGAATTTTCAATAATATGCTAGGGTATATCATATATAACAAAAGCTTTTACACAAGTCTGATTAATTTCATAAATTCTTTCTTAAGAGAGGTTTGAACTTTCATGAAAATTAGTTATTCAACTCTATCCAGTATTTTCATTAAATTTTCATCTTTTATTTAATATTTGTTGGCTATATGTAAAATCTTTAGCTTTTATAATAAGTCAGTTTAAAAAAAAACTGTTTAACATTCATCAGAACTTTCAAATAATTATTAGCAAAATGCTCTTTTAAATTTTGAGAAGAGTCTTTATAGTAAAAAATATTATAGTATAAATATGTAGCTTCATAATAGTTTTTTAATACTTTTTTACCTTAAATAATATGGGTTTTCTATACAAAAAACTTTAGCCTATTATCAGAATTCTTTGCTTTTTTCTTTTGTAATATTATATTATTTGGTAAAAAATTAAATACAATTTGATTTTCTTTAGTCGATATGATAGACAATGAATAAATAAATTATGTGTATTACATGTAAAATAAACTGCATTTAATAATTTATAAAGATTATAAAAGCTAATCAATTCCTTTTTTAGTTTCAGAATTTAGAAAATAATGAAGGTTATAGAAGTTATATAAAATTTTAACAGTTATGCTAATTTTAAAGTTATTAGAAATTATGAAAATTACAAAATTAATAGTTTTGGTAAAACTAGTTTCACCAGTTTTAGAGGTTTTATCTTATAGGTAGGTTTCAGTTTCACCTGAAATATTATTTATATTTTAATCTATTTAAATTACATTTTTATTAAAGCATTTATTTATTTTTCTTTAAATTTATTTTACATCTTCTGTTTGATTATTTTATAATTATTATTAATTTTATATCATATGTAATTATCATTATCTATTTTATATTATATTTTGTAATCATTATCAATTATATATCATGTGTATAATTGTTATTTATTATATATCATATATTATGATTATTAATTATATATTATTTTTATCTATTATATATTATATATTATTATTATCATCAATTATATTATATGTTATTATCATTATCTATTATATAATGTAAATATTTCAAATTATAAACATTTAACAAATTATACCTTTTTTCTTATTATCTCTAGTAATTCATACTATTATTATTTTTTTTTCAGAGCATTATTATATTTATAATTAGAGGTCTGAATTGATCAAAAATTTTGTATTCAATTAATCAATCATTCATAAAATTTATAATCAATTATTATTCAATTAATCATTAATTAATGATGATTATTCAAATTATTTAGATCATCTGTATAACTAATAAGTTGAAAAACTAAATTGTTAATACATTAATTAAAATAAAAAAATATATTTTAAACTTATTTTTATTATCAATAATAATAACAAATTATATTATACTAATTATTTTAACTATTATTTTTGCTAATCACTATAATCAGATTTTTTCTAAAGGAAATTATATTAATATTTTTGTCAAATAGATGTTAAAACTGATCAAAATTCTTTAATAAGTTAATAACTTAAAAATATTCATTAAACTGGTTAAAATTAACTTATACCTAAAGATGACGTTATAATATTGTAATATTTATTTATCATCTATTGCAACTTAAATTTTAATAATATTGCAATTTATTGTAATATTGTGATACTTATTTGTCACTTGTTATAACTAATTGAGGTGTTATCTTTACTTATACTAGTATTATAAATTTGGCTGGAGTTAGACAATATTTTTGCAATCATAAAAATCTTAATTATAGCTGAAAATTGAATATCTATCATAACTAAATTCATTTATTTTTAACTAGTTAAAAAAAATCATTAACTGGCTTATATGTTAACCGCTTTAACCAGTTTCAATCTTTATCATCAAATGAATCTTTCAGAATTACTTCTTGTTCTAAGAAATATTATCATTGTAATTTGCATTAAACTCATTTTATAAAAAAAATTTGAAGTTAAAATGAAATGTCTTTTAAATAATAGATTCAAAATATTTGAATTAATCTGTTAATATTTTTGTCTAATTAATCATCATAATCAGTTAGTTAAATCTGAATAATTTGCCTACAAATTAAATGATTCAGATCTCTAATATTTACTAAAATTTAAAGCATTATATAATATTAAAGAAAAAACTAAAAATTATTTATTTTACAAAATAAGCATTATACTAGTATTATTTTAATATAATAATACAGTTATTTTTAAATAAGAAAAATTTATAATTTTATATTTAAACAAAAATTAAAGATTTAGATATTTTATAAAGATAGTATTACAACTAGTTATAACTAATGATAAATAAGCATTATAGGGTTGCAACTAATTGTAATATTAATAAAAATTGAATTGTAACTAGTTATAACTAATAACAAATAAACATTATATAATTATAACTAGTTGCAACATTATTTTTAGTATTTCCATTTCTTTTTAATTTAATTAGTAATTTACCAAAAGATGTAATATTAATATTAACTTATAATTCTTTACAATCATAATGTCTATGTTATAATTGTATTATCACTATTTATCAGTTAAATAATTCTAACTTTCAGTAAATAATATATAATTGCATATTTCTAATAATATGTAATATATAATTAAATATTAATTTGGTTAAGAATATTCAATATATGAGATACAAAATATATTTTAAAAGCATTCATAATTAAATATATATAGTATAATTTTACCTAATTAAATATATTATTATTATTTAGGATTATTTTATTATTAAATTTATTTCATCTTATTTTTATTAAAAATCTTTTATAATTAAGAAGGCATTGATGAATTTAATTATTATTTAGCTACTATTTCATATTTTTTTAGAATTAAAACTTTTTAAATATAGGCTTATAAATCTAAAAGTACTAGTCTTAGTGGTTTAAAAAAATTTATTTTGAAAAATTTGTTAATTCATATAAAAATTGTATTTTTTGATATTAGAAGTTAATAAAGAATTTAATGTATTATTTGATATGCTAATGACTTTTGTAATATATTAAATAGATTAATAGAAAATGATGTTAAATTATCAGTAATTAAATGATATAATAAGATTATAATATCTAGTAAAGAAACTAATTAAACTAAAAGTTAACATTATAATTCTTCTGCTTTTAGTAATATTGCTATTTTTATAGATGTAGAAGAATTACAAAATTATAATAAAGCTAAAGGAATTTTCTATAGAAAGATAAAATTAATTAATATATATTTTATAATTATAAATATCTATATATATAATAATTCTGACTTTAAATTTATTATTATTTTTATTTAAAATAGATATTAATATTATTTTATTTAAAAATAAATGAGAAAAACATATATAAATTTATATTAATATAATAGTACAACTTTAAATATCAAGTAAAAGGCCAGTTATTTAAATATGAATGTCTATATCTTAAATTAATATAAATTATTACATTAGTTACAATAAATTCTATTATTAAGCTAGTATATATTTTAAAAAGAGAATAAATATTTAGTAAATATATTTATTTTTTAAATAATTTTGGTAAATTTATAGATTTAAAGTTATATTAGTAAAAGTAAATCAAATATGTAATAGTAATTAACTTACATTTGTATTATACAATTATTATTTGATTTATAAATGTGATAATTATTGAATTTTAGTGATATATGTCTTAAATTAAAGGTTATGTACTTTATAATATTGATCAACTTTTTAATTTAAATTTTTAATTAAAAATAATTTTATTTAATATTATAATATCAATATCTATTAAAATATATTAAAATATTTTAAATAGAGTTACGAATGAGTTGAGTCGAGTTGAGTTTAAAAATCAACTCTATTTGACTCTTTTTTCGAGTCGAGTCGAATCAAATTTATTTTATAAAATCTTTCAATTTGATTTGATTCAAGTTATATAAATTTTAAACTCAACTCAATTTGACTTGACTTGATTTTATTTAAAAAAATTGAAAAAACAGTTATATTTTTTTATTATAATAAATATTTATTAAATTTTTTAATTTAAGTTACTTAATTATAGTTTAAGCAATTTTTTAGTCATTGGGATATGCTGCAAAAAAACTAGACAAAGTAATCATAAACATTATATAATTAATATAATTATTAATGCTATCATTAATACAGTAAGAACTAATGATATTAATGATATTTGACTTGAATTTCTTTCTCTAACTATTTTAATTTGTTATAATTCTTTAGTTTTATCTCACTCTTTTGTATAGTCTTAGCAGTAATTCTTTCATTTTCTATAGTACTTGAGATTTTGTATTAGTAGGTCAGGTTTTATTTGGTAGCCAGTCTGTATTTAGAAATAAACTCATTATGAATTTAGAATTATGATAATCATTAACATGAGAAGTAGGAGCTTTCAAATTTTTATTCTTAAGATTTTATTTCAAATCAAATTTTACTATGAAATTATTAAACATCTTAATAATCTATTTTTTTTTATTAACTTTTTCACATTCGTCTATTTAGGCTCATATTTTTTTATCAATGGTACTAATCTGATCTATATGATTTAGCAATTACTTTACTATAATGCCGTTTGGTTATATTGAGAAAATTCTTTGCTTGAATCTTTAGTAAAATATCGGTGACTACCAGTGTTAGCAATTAGACAATTGGACAATTGGACCAATTGAATATTAGACTTATTGTACTAATACCAATAAGTCTATTTAAACAATTGGACGATTAGACTTGATCCAATTCCAACTGTTATTATTAACCAATTAAAAATAAATTTTAATTAATTATAATTAATCACGTTATAATAAATTTTACTCATTTTATTATTTAAGTGATAATTTATAAATTTTTATTGTTTAAAATTATTTTTTATTTAAAAAATTCTAATACAACTAAAAAATTGCTATTAATTTTTACCTATAATAAAATCTTCTAAATAATTTGGTAATTCTAAACTTTTTACAAAAATATTTTTTAATTGCCATTTTGCTTGTAAATCAATTGCAGAATGTTGCAATTGTTCAATATTATCAACTGAAATATTATAAGTATTAATTAAATCTGTTATTTCAATATCTTGATCTTGTAATTTACTTTCAATCATTTCTGCCCAATTTGATATCATATTTCTCCACTCATTAATAGAAGTTATTGATTATATACGTATATTATTAATAAAATTTGTATCTTCATTATTTCTCTTATTTATCTCATTATCAATATCAGTATCTTTATTATCAGAAAGAAAAAAATTTTCATGATCTATATTTTCTGTATTATCTGATTCAGAAATAG